AACCAAGTAGGACTAAGTTTATTTTAAATAATTATTTTTATACAAATCCAATTTTGATGCAGTTTTCTAGTAAACACTAATTGTATACATTTAGACAATAAAAGACAAAATAATATATTTTAAAGCATACTTCTGTAATTTAAAACTTTAGGCAATACCACGAGGATTATGATCCCCACACATTGTATATTCTAGTATTCTAATACGAAACTATTCTGAATCATAAATTGTATTAATATTATTATGTTTTTGATGTAAAATCAGTTAATGCCTTAACATTCAGTAGAAAATGTTAATATTGATCCTGATGTAATAACTTTCAATAACCCAAAAACACACATGTTTTTTCTTTATTTGAGGTATACAGTCATTTATGTTTCTTTCAGTTTTGATTGTACGGAATAAAGTACATTATATAATTTCACGATGTTTAAAAAAGAAAATATAGTTAATTAAAAATAATAATTACTGTTAATTTGCTTCATTTTCTCATGATTTCATTCGAGTTTTAACAAAGAATGTTTTAGGTATGTTGTTGCAACGTGACATGAAAAAAACAATAATCTTAAGAAAAAAGGTCTGGTTTTTATATGGGTTAAATGATATTTTTAGAATTCGCATTCAGCTAATATATAAAATTGATTCAAATATATGATTAAGAAAATTAACATATCCTTAATAAATTCTTTAGGAATAAAATTGACAATGAAGATATGTTACTGGGATTCACTTAAAGAAAATATTAATATAATATTTATAAATACTTACATTTATAATATTGATCTATCACAAATTGTTTGATTCATTAGGACAAGTTATAGAATAGTATAATTAATTAAAATTTGCTAGATTTAAATATATATAACAATATAAAACTAATAAATTGTGCATGTTAAGCAGTATATAACTATTTTATTAGTATTACTTTAGAACAGGTTTCGTATGAAATAGCTGAAACTACTAATGTTTTATTTAAAGCTATTTTATTCTTTTGTGTCTAAAATATAATTTATTTCCTTATTCATATTTTGCTTAACTTAATTGGATTTAAAAATATTCTTAAAATTTTCACTTAATTTAAATAATTAGTGTTTTGTAACCTAGTCAACAAATATGATTCTGCCGCTGTTTCTTTTGTCAAATGAAAAGTTTTTATGACAATACTTTTTAAATTATTGAATACACATCTTATAAATGAATTTAATTGTTGTTTACATTGAAAATACCTGTATTCACAAGTTGCTTCATATGATAATTTGCAATAAATGTATTGAATTTGTCAATGTTACCATTATACTAGTTAATTAGTCAAGTTTACTTCACTCGCAATCTCTATTTTTGATTTACTTTTTTCTGACTGCATAATCAATCCTCATTCTGATAATAACGTTAATTCAAGACTTAGTATGAGATATTGTCTTTCATAATATATCTTGTTGTTTGAAAACTTCTTAATAATTGGAACATATTTACTAATATATCCATTTTCATATTAAATGATATTGAATTATATGTTCAAAAATACTGATGGAAAATACACTAATGGACAACCGCATGTAAACAACAGTATTCATAAACTAATAAAATACTAATCAAACATTCTCTCTCAAAATTGCCATAAATCCCCAAGTCTGGCATTTGTTTATCATCATCTTCATGAAAATATTCAGGTGCATCTTTAAGTTTAACAAATCGGAATCAGTGAGAGTGATTTGTGATATGTGAAAGTGATATTTCCTTTGTTTGATCAATGTGGTCATGTGCAAGGTTGTAGATAACCTCTTATACGTTTAATAAGTGTTTTCACCCCTCGTGAAGTATGGAAGGTGCCTAAAACAGTTAAAAAAATCTTAAATAAAGGAATGGGACTGTTCCTCATCATAAATATATCTATGATAGCCTTATCATAGTGTAAATGAGTAGTAAAATCAACCATGTGGAGCATTGTTACTGATCTGTCATCGCATGCATAAAAATTAATATATTAATTTTCTGACCTACCCCTATAATTCAAATGAGACAGATGTGCTTAGTGTTAACTTGGTTGTTTCAAATACAGTGTGCTGAAGAAGCCGCTCTCCATACAATTATGGCCGAATACGATAAATTAGAAGAAATCAAAACAATAATACCAGCTAAAAAATATCGTGACAATGTTATACTGTTTCCTGATGTTACCTGGGACAATGATAAGATTGGAATAGTATCAACACTCATAAATACTGTTTCAAATGCGATAATCACCAATGACTGGTCAAAGAAAGATGATAATTTGAGAGATGATATACCTAAAAAAATTATTAATATGGTAACAAGTTGTAAAAAGGAAGAAGAGCCTAACAAGAAGAACATTGTGAACTTCTATACCATTGATAATACAACAGAAGGGGATCTTAAGGCAGCAACTGAGCAATTGGATAACGCAGTGAAACAATCAAGTGTGCGTGATGATTTGATGGATTGCTTTATGTTTGAAGAATTAAGAAGAGCAACAATCAAAATAGGAAAAGATTGTAATTTGACGGCAGATGAGAAGCAGAAGATGTTGATGGATCACTTTCTGAAACTACCATACTTCATGTCATTCACTATGAAAAATCGTCTAACTAGTGGTACGGTATACGTATATGTTGTATTTGCAATAGGAAGCAAATCAATGAAGTCTGAAATAATCAAAATAACGAAAGAGTTAGAAGAAGAACAAATAATTCATGATCTGGAAGAATATAAGGCAAAAACATCAAAAAAGAAGACCGAAACACAAACAACGAAAACAGTTCCAAAGAAAGCAACAGAAAAATCACCTAAGAAACAAACAGAAAAATCAAAAGTGATCAAAATAGCACTCATTGTAGTGGGGATTATCGTAGGAATAGTTATAATAGCGACAATATCACTTATATTAGTGAGAAGAATGAGAAAGCGTTCTATTGAAAGATCTGATAAACCGTAAAATGGTGACAATAAATAGCAAATAAGAGAGCGTGATTAATGGTTATGTTTTATCAATCAATCTTCAATATATGCTGTATTGTATACCCAAAGTCTTATTATTGACCTAATTGGCCATAATGCAATATATCTCTTTTTGGTCAACAGAGTGAAAATGTTTATTTAGTGATCAAAGAAAACATCTTCGTTTGATCAATTTAACTTAAAACCAAGTGATTGACGAATATAGAATAGAATAAATCCATTGTGATATGATCAAAAACTGTTTGATCAAAATGTTTGTGAAAAGATTTTGTTTTGTCCTGTTAAAATATGAGAATGGTTGCACTTCTATTCTATGAAATCATTCTAACAGCAATGCAAGAAGAATGTATTGAAACAGTGCATTTCGATGCCAATGAACCAGTGCTTTATGAAATTCCAAATTGTGGTAAAGCGTATTCGCATGAATCAGGAAAAGCCATCATCACAGTATTTGATGAACAAGTGGCTAAATCAGAAATTGAAGTGAACAAAGAACTTCTTAGGCTTGGATTTGTAACACAGGAAGCACGTGTGGTACAATACAGTGAGAATAATCAAATGAAATGGGCATTGCTTACACCAAGATGGGGAGACATGGCCAATGAGAACAAGCAGATTAGACAAACAATGGAGGCTACAAGGAGATTTATTGGTGGAACTTCCATGGTATTTGGCTCAATTAACAACATCACTAGGGAGAAGGTGAAGGGATTTATGGATAAGTTCGCATCACAAATTCCAGTTCTAATTGTGAATGGAATTATCTTTGATGAATCATGTTACAACATCATTATTATGGATACAGTTCATGAGAAAATCAAGATATTGAATTGTTTTTCTGTGGATTCAACATAAGGCACTTTAAAGAATGGAAATTCAACAACTTAAAGATGCTATTTGTAAAGAATGAGGCATTTGAATTAGATTTAGATCAACCTACTTTAGATGAAGAAGGCCAATTGCTAAGGAAAAGGAGAAAAATAGAAGAACCTTTACCAATACGGCCAAATAAAGAGAAGCTTGCTGAATGTATCAAGAAAATGATGAATAGTTGTGTGAACGCGCTTGTAGGAGCAATGCTTAAATCAGAAGTCCAAGATTGCGAATATGATAAAGTAGGTAAAGTGTAATGGTGCGGGATAGAAAAATCGCTTATCAGGTTGAAGAGGCTCTTGAATCAGTAGAGGAAATAGATAATTAAATGTGCTACGTTTGTTTATAAACGCAAGTGTTAAAGATTGAGCTGAATTAACCTTTGTGATAATTA